CCTCTCAGCGTCGCTGAGTGGACGAAGGAATTCTTGCCATCTCGCGAGACACCAATCAAACTCGACCCCGACGCCTTACCAGATAGTCATGATGCACTGGCATTTGTAAGTCTACTGTTTGCTTTGGAGTCATATCCAGTTCTCTGATTTGTTATTCCAGGAGGACTACATCACAAGGAGTGGGGTCTGTGCCACCGTCTTCCCTCGCGCCACACTCGGTGTGCACGGCAAGGATCACACGACAAACACCTTCCTATCCGCCGACTTTTCGATCCTCTCGAAGAATTTTGTTTTTGATCACGACAGTCGTGTCGTACGCGACGAGCTCTTGGGCTGCACACTCGCCTTCGGCGACATCGTCCCCGAGAAATACGACCCATGCCCATTCGCCGACGGAAAGCCGGACACAGAAGACGCCGCCTACACGCGTGGGCGGCTCGGTGCGATCATGCGCGCTGTCGCCGTCAACTCACACCGCACCTTCTGCTTCGCCTTCGTCGTTATGCCCGAATTCGCTCGCCTACTACGCTTCGACCACGCCGGGATCGTCTACACGGAACTCTTTCCCTGGCGAACATCTGGCGACCTACTTCACTTCTTGAAGGCTTTCGACTGTATGTCACCAGCTCAACGCGGTTGTGATACCTCGGTGTCGGCGATTGCAGCGGATTCCGAGGAGGCCGTGCAAGCGAAGGAGATTTTAGCAGGTTCGGATGCACTCCCGGACGACGTCCCCAAGACCTCCGTTATTCCCAGCGGGCATGACGGCATGTTGTTCTTGATCAACGTCTATGACGACGAACAGCAAACCTATCACCGTGTGGTCGTGCACCGTCCAATCCACTCGGTTGAGTTCTACGTTGGCCGTTCCATGCTCGGTTTCTACGGCGTGGACCTGGACGAAAAAATTGTCGTATACGTGAAGGACGCGTGGCGCATAGCTTCGCCAACAGCAGCGCCAGAGGCCGCCACATACCGGCGCTTAAATGGGCACCACGTGCCATATCTCCCCGGCTTCTACTTCGGCGGCGATGTACCAGAAGAGTCTGCAGCGCCTCATGCATCCAGTGGATCGCCTGCAACTCCTGTACATAGCTCGTGCTCCGAACGATTCTTGAAAGATCGCGAGGCGCGTCTTCTGCGATCGCCGGGCATCAATAACGGACTGCACGCCCATGTCCATCACCGCCTTCTCTTCAAGAAGATTGGGCGTCCGTTGAAATCGTTTGGAAGTACTCTTCAACTTTGCACATCGCTCATGCACGGCCTTCAATGTACGTGATCGCTCTCTTCACATGAAGAGTCCGTTTTTGCTGACATCGACTTTTCCAGCCCATGGCGCAGCATACGAGATCGCAAGGATTCTGCATCGCGATATTAGTGGCGGAAACATCTTAATCGACAAGAACGGCGATGGCATGCTTATTGATTGGGATATGTGCGTGTGGCTAGAGAACAAGGAAGAGGTGGAGAAAGTCGATCAGAAGATCGTGCGTAACCATATACTTTCAATTGGGTAACCGCCATCTGACGTTGTCTTACAGGGAACCTGGGCTTTCATCTCTGCTGCCTTACTCACCAGCCACGAGACGCGGCCGCATCTCCTCCGCGATGATCTGGAGTCATTCGTCCACATCCTCTTCTACCACGTCTTTCGGTACAGGCCTACAGCGCCAGCCGGCTCGTCCAAGCAAAAACAGATATACGCGAGTATGAAGCGAGTCTTCGACACTGCGTTTTACACCGGCGGCGATATGCGCGGCGGACACGACAAAGCGTGTTACCTTTACGACGCCTTGCACTTCGAGTCGTCTTTGTTACGCGAATGCGTTCGGCCGGAGCCGCTGCGGAGGCTCATGACGACTGCGCGCAATGTCTTTTCCCCTCTCTACGTGCCGAAACCATATGTTGAGGAGGAAGATGAAGATCTATCCGATGAGCTCGAGAAGTTGGAGGACTGGCAGAAGGAGCACGACAAGGCGCTAGGCCGCTTGGAGACGCCCGAATATTTTATCTCTGTGTTTCGCAAGTGGACCCAGGAGTACGATCGCCAACGGTACCAGTGGGCGTCGGGCGATGGTGCTGTTGATCAGTATCACAGGCCGGATCCAGATCCCATCACTCCCTCGCATTCGGGTCACAGTCATAAGCGTTCTATCGACGCTGTTGAGGATGAGCCCCAACCCGCTGTGAAGGCGCGAAGAGGAGCTTCACACACATCTGCTGGACAATCAAGCCGGGCGTCCGTGCGATTACGTTGATATTATTCACCTTACCTCTGCCTACATATCCTATTGCATATTTGCGCTTACTATACTATGGTTCACTTTACTATCACATCGTATTGTAACACACCACGCGGTTCTGCTGTTGTTTAAATTTAAATCTGCGACGGCAAGAAAGCCGCTGCGCATCCTCGGCGCGGAACAAAGAAAACGGTTTGATACAATGATAGAAGCCGTGACGTCGTGCGATGTTAGGAGTGCACTCTAAGGACGTGTCTACCAACCGCTAACGTGTCGACATGAGTCTGCCTACGGGAGACTACTAACGTGCGTAGAGCTCTTGACGACCATAAACCATTCTCCACTGGCTCGGGGTTACAGGGCCTTTCAGGCGATCCACAGGGTTCTATTGTTGTCAAATCAAATACATACGATGCATTCACGGTATACTATTATTACATAGGAAGAAAAGCGTCAAGGTAGAGTTAAGGTGTATCGTAGTCTCCAGGTTCCCTGAGTTTTTCGCTAGAACTCTTGCAGTGAAAAGATCGCCTCCTCCGAGGCTGTGTCGCCATTCTCTACATCGTCATCCTCGCCGCGATCCAACTCCTCGCCCGCCTGATCATCATCCCGGCGAACTGGACCAAAGACATCGTCGGGAGATGACTTGAGTCGCTTCGGTTCGGGTAAATTATTGGGGCCAGGAACGTACGATCGCGACCGCTTGGTACTTGTTCGCGTCGACGAATTCGCTATGTTTCCGGTGAACGAGGAGAAGTTTGTCGAAGGTAGCGACGTGGGAGTGTACTGGTCTGCCGGCGGCGCGGATTGTGGCCAGTCCTTTGCTAGCACGTTCGTGAAGATCTTGAGTAATGGTGCGGCGGACGAAAGCTCTTCCTTGGCTTTCTTGTGAGACTCATCCCACAGCTCCTGTTTCTCCTTCACACCCTCCAGATCTTCAGGTTCCATATCTTCTTCGACTACCGGCCGTGTAGCGTAGAGTGGATGAAATATACGGCGGCTCGAGCGCATCACTCTCCAGAGCAACGCAGGCTGTATAACTCCTCCGCCGAGTTCGTCTTCGTTCAGAGTGTGCTTGCCGCCAAGGAATGCCCCCTTATCCCTGCCGGCCTCGATCTCGTTCTCCGAGTTCACAGCAGCCGACTCATAGATATGTCGCATAGCCTGGAGGATGGTACTGCGCGTCATCTTCTGAGTATACGCGTGAGGAAGATACCGTAGAGCGTGGAACCACAGTAAGTGAATGATCGACTCAAGGTCATCCCGGAGCAGGTGAGGTCGCTCCCAAGGTTGTTGGAGTTGTTCCGCAGAAGAGAACTGTAAAGATATCTGGCCTAACATGTTAGCGCATGTGCATGATTGTCAGAATGCAGCTCATACCGGTCGACTCCTCGTCCTAGCGGATGAAAGATTCCGCGTGACGACGTCCGTCCAATCCCAGTTCATCACCCTACCACGGCCCTGGTTGTCGATACCGATACTAGACGCCGTGAGATTGCGATGTAAGATTCCCTTATCATGCGCTTTCTGGAGTGCTGGATATAGATATGAGCGTTAGCGTCACATGACACACATGAAATGACTGACCGTCAGTTGCATCGTGTAAAACCTGGACGAGTTCCCGAGGATTGCGAAAAGTACGAAGCTTGCGCACGACCGTGAAGAACACGGAGACATGATGAGTACGGCGCAACACCTCGACAGATTCGCCGTCCTTACGCCCTATAACAGACTTAGGGCGGTCCCATTCTTGATGTTTCGTAATGAGGTCGTGCGTGCGCGTAGACTGAAAGGCGAGTTCCACCTCCAGGGGAATCGGTTTATCATGATATCGGTCCCACAGAGCTGCGCCATCGACCAGTACGTCACCTCCGTACCCAAATTCAAGCGCGTGCTCTACGGAGCGGTCAAATGAGCGGTAGACATCGCTTTCGGAGGGTACGGTCGGTAGCGCAATCCGCCAGTAGCTTTTGAAGAGGACTACTCTTTCCAATCTCAGGTCGACGCCGATCCACCAGCGGATTCCAGAACCAAGGTAACTCGACGTGTCGCAATCGAAGGGGCGATGAGCGATAACGCGGTGAATGACACGCGTTTCGGAATCGAACAGGTAAAAGCGTGATAGATCTCCATACTGTCCCCTTGGGAAGACGGTGGCGTGCGTTATCCCTTGAGGGAGCGCATATCTCAATGCTTTACGACGTTTAGATAGCAACTCCTTGGCCCGCAGCGCGTCGTCGTGCGTTGGAGGAATGAGTTGCACCGCGGTATCCCAGCCGCGCTCGGCGGGTGTCATGGCGTCGAAGCGAGATAGGAACGAGAGCAGGTACCCAGTGTCCCGCCACTCGAAAGGGGCACTGCGAATGATCGCACCGCGGTCGAAGAAAAACAGATAGCCGTGCTTCGGCGTGAGCGTGAAGCTGTACTTCCATGTACGATGCGAGTTGGTTGAAGTGACGTGCACGTAAGTGATGAGTTGTCCGAACGACTGTCGTCCCTTTGGCGTATCCTTGGTCGGATCTTCGTCCTCGGCCTTCAGTTCACCGTCGCCTTCAGACTTTTGAAGGATGATTCGGGCACGAAAGGGGCCAGGAACCTCGAGGTCTACATCGGAGGAGCATGCGGTCCAGTCCGGAGAGTACTTCTGAGATGGGTCGTTGATATCTTCGCCGCGGATGAGATGGGTATCCTTGGATAAGAGTCGCTTCAAGACGCCACTCTTGACTATAGCCTCATGCTACAACTACAAGTAAGCGGGTTTCGGTGCAACAAGAGTATACACGCACAAACTGAGTCTCATTACGAGTCGTTGATACCTCCTGAAAGACCTTGACAGAGACGCCCTTCAGAGCTTCCGGCGAGCGCTCTTCTGAGTATGTAGACTTTGGGAGGCAATGTTCAAGCCACTCTTCGATAGTTCGCGTCACTACACACAAGCCTTCCGCACGCTGCCTATTCGCCTCATATATCGTTTTGCGCGTCCTATCCCTTTTGTCGGCCATGTGATACGCAGTTTCTATCTGGGTGCCCGTAGCGGGAGTGAAAGGAAATGGCTTCGTCTTCGCTGAATCGTTCCCAGTCTTGTTCGGAGTCTTGGGATCCGACGGCGGTGTGGTTTGCTGAGTCTGAGGCGGAGCGGAAGATGGACTAGCAATAGGTGCTGAAGATGGGCCAGCGGTGGCGGAGGTAGAATGCTCGGAAGCTGGAGCACGGCGGCGAGAGGGAGGGCAAGTACGAGAAGTTGAAGGTTCGTCGGGCGCGGGCTCGCGGGAGGTTTGGCTGCCATTAGCTCGGAGATTGCGAGCTGAGCGACGTAGTGGCACCGTCTTGTCGGTGGAAGAACTGGCACCTCCCGCATCGCCATCTTGGGCAAAGCCACCTATAGGAGCAGATGTTAGCTATGTGAGTGTGCTACGGGCATCTTGCAACTTACCTCCTCGAGCCATATGTAGCGACAGCCGACGATGTAATCGACCTGGTGCACGCCACCGGCCGTTGTCGCAGGAAGAGAAGTGGAGCCGGTCGCCACACGCAAATTGAGCATGTTATTAGCAAGGGCAGATGTGGTTCACCATCTATGCGTTCAGGGCTAGCGATAGGCGCAGACAATGGGAAGAAGGTGGGTACAGCTATCACAACCACCATCACCTCGAGGCACAGAAACTTCATTGTTTGACGGAGTGCACTCGGCCGCGTCAGCTAGCCAGCACATTGCGGAGTAGCTGTACATGTCACTAGAGCATGTAGCGCATGGCGCTAGCGGTAAGATAACTTTGACATGGTCATGAAGGTAAGAGCGAGAAGGTGGTTGGGCGTGAGCGCGTCGACGTCGCATCAAGATTCGCAGTCCACGGTAGCGGCGTTAACCTTGGTCTCATCGAGGACTCTCCTGTCACCATATCTGTGAGATACGAGACTGTCTGTGCATAACATCTGCGAATACATTTCGTGCCAGCGCAACCTTTTCCACTGTGCAAGGTTGGAATCGATTTCTCACGGCGTGAGAACAATGTTCGCCGCGTCATCGGTTCCCATCAACGGCTAAACGTGCCGGTGTGGTTCAGATCCAACAACATTGCGCGTCCGCTCTTGCTCTCTCACTACCACCATCTCAGTCATGGTTCGCTCCCGCAGTGTATCCTCTGCATCTAGCAGCAGCTCTCACTACCCTTGTGCTTCCTCTTCGCGACCTTCATCGCCCTCCAAAGGGTCTTTCTATGACCGCAGCTCAGCATCAACCTCCATGTCCTCACTGGACGCTTGCAGCACGCCCGCACAGCGCTGCAGCTGCGAGTTGGCCAATGAGAGTCGGCTTAAGAAACTATATCACGATCACGCCCAGTCTACGGACGGCCTTTGGCACGGCCCTCTCAGCGTCGCTGAGTGGACGAAGGAATTCTTGCCATCTCGCGAGACACCAATCAAACTCGACCCCGACGCCTTACCAGATAGTCATGATGCACTGGCATTTGTAAGTCTACTGTTTGCTTTGGAGTCATATCCAGTTCTCTGATTTGTTATTCCAGGAGGACTACATCAC